TACTTTTAAACATCTCTTTTGAGAGAATATTTACAAGGCTATAAAAATCTGTAAAAGAGTGTTGGTTGTGTGTAAGTTCGGTGCTAGAAGTATTTTGGGATCCGTTCCTACACAGTACATAGCTGAACTGCCTCTCGCTTGACTACATATCACACATGCTTAATCATAACTAACAACCTCTCGCTTCAATTCGACTACCTATCACACACACATTTAGTCTTAGCTGAGCAGCCTCTCGTTTAACTTTGACTTCATACCACACACATTTTGTCCTAGCTAAACAGCCTCTTGTTTGAGTTGGACTGTTATACGTGTTTTGTAGTTTATATATGGCTTGATTACTTAATACATTATCTTAAACATTTAATTTTTGAAACGATACAGATGGGTTGTCTCATTCAATAATCGTAACACATCTCACCAAAAGATTGTTAGAAAAATAAAACATTTCAGCCTTTTTTCTAGTGTAATGTTTTTGATAGGTTACCGTAAACATTCCTTTTTCAATTGCAGAATCGCTCTATTCTCAAAGACTTTTTAAACACATTATAACATATAACATATGTCTAATAACATATGAGTCGCATAGAACATTTAATCGAAATACTATCAATATTATAATTAATCCCATTGATTATTGCTGGGGTCGATGTGGACTCCTATGCATTTGACATAGAAAATGGTTGATGTTAACCAAATGGTTTGGTTAGTTATTTAACTGATGACTCAAAACTATGATATGTATATACTAACATGTATTCAGTCGGCTTTTATAGTTTCTTATTCTAGGGCATTTAAAGCTAAAAAATCAGGTTTCCATACCCGTGGTAGGCAAAGCACAGATAGCCTATTGTTTAGGTTTTTCTTAACAACCAACAATCAAACAAAATCATATTTCAAATCCATAAAAGGCTTGCACTTTTAGTATGAAATTCATTCCAGTTTCAACATTCTTCTGAATCTCATCTAATAAATTGGCAAACAAAGATTTATAAGCATAATAAAGTGAATTGTTTTTGTTTTGTTTTGTAAAAATATTACACGTTTTTACATAACATTGATCTTTTTTTTCCTTCATATCTTAAAAAGACAAAGCAGTGTGCTGTCGAAGCATGCAGTACATTCCTCCAAAAATAAATCACTTTATTAGTCGTATAAATCGTTGTTTGCCAAGTTATCATTATATATTAGCATAATGTGCTTTCTTAATCAAGTAACTGAATCTATTCATTAATAATCTTGCAAAAAGTTAAATGAGTTCTACGGCCAAATATATGGTGGATTAATATATAACTGACTATTCTGAAGATGACTATTAAATTAGCCTTGATGACTATATGGCGTCTAGAAGTGAGAGTAAAGAAGATCGTATATCTGTTGAAGAAAATGCCAGTGATAGAATCTCAGATGAAAATGAGATTAAGAATGAAAGTTATGATGATGCTGATAAAAAAAAACTGTAAGTGTATATTTTACTAAATAAAAATGTGAGGTTTTTTACAACAACAACTTAACAGTCAACTGAGAAGAGATCATTTTTAATGATTTGCGAAGAAGCACCAGTCCAACTAGATATGCAAACTTATCTCCACTCGTGAAGAAATGCATTATGGAGAAAATACTAAAAACGGGCGAACAAGGAATGATACGGGTGGTGAGAGAAATGAAATATTTGGATTCTATTGTTTGTTTGTAATTAAGCACAAAGCTACCCAATGGGCTATCTATTCCCTGCCCACCACGGGTATCGAAACCCGGATTCTAGCGTTAAGGCATTTGGATTCTAACAAACTACAATGTGTTTACGCTAGCTTGGGTTTTTATAAAGCAAGGAATGAGGCAAACGAGTAGCTTTGGAAAAGAAAGATTAGTAGACCTTTTTTTACCAGAAGCGAAGGACGTTGAAGAAAGGTGAGTCAAAGAGGAGCCTTTTTTTATAAATATGCTAGGAAAAAAACCAAGTTAAAAACAAGAAGTGACCAAGTCCAATAATATTGAACTTTGAGATCGTGGGTAAACTATTCGCTTCAAAATTGGGCCCGGCATGACCAGGTGGTTAGGGCGCTCGACTCGCAATCTGCGAGTCGCGGGTTTGAATCCCCGTCACACCAAACATGTTCGCTCTTTCAGCCGTAGGAGCATTATAATGTGACGGTCAATCCTCTATTCGTTGGTAAAATAGTAGCCCAAAGAGTAGCTGCCTTCCCTCTAGTCTTACACTGCTAAATTAGGGACGGCAAGCGCAGATAGCCCTCGTGCGCGAAATTCAAAACATAGCTTCAAGTTCAGGAATGGCTAACGTAGATGGCTTGAGAAGCTTTGCGCAAGATTGAACAAACAAACAAAGCAATAACTTCCGAAAACTTTTGTAAAATCAAAGACTGGCATTACAAGAAAATGTAATCTTTTCTGGTTCTACCCTCGTGAAATACACAAAAAAATGCAGGAACAGATGTAAAATGTTTGTATATAAAGAGCATTTCAATGTATTTGACAGTTTCTTTGCTAAGGAAAATGTTTTAGCTCATCATTTTGCCTTTTTTATTTTCATAGTATTTTCATTTTCTAATCTTTAAACAGATTTGAAAGCTCTGTAATATTGAAGATTATTTTGTATAAGATTAAGTATCAATAGTTAATAAAAGTATTTAGAAACGACAATAATTGCACAAAGCCTCGGTAATTTGAAGGTTAACTTTCTTAAATAGCACTTTCTGAAGCTTTATAACACTCTGTGAGAAACATAATTGGCCCAGTTAAAGAAACATACAAGTTTTGGATGTTTTTAGCAGTCAGAGAGCTATAACGCACAACAGGAAATACCTGTATCATATAGCTTGAACTAAGATTCTTTTTTATCACATTGATCGTGTTTATAAAATATGCTTGTTATTCTCATAAGCACCTACAGGAAAAATACAAGACTGTTCAATATCGTGATCTTGATTTCAGTGTTAGTTCTAATGTCCCAAGGCCTGTAATATTTAGTCAGTGGTCCAAGAAAGAGATTCTATGCAAAATTTCAACCAACGTACGTGAAAGTGGAATTTGTATTTAGCAGACAGAAAAAAAAATAAGTTGCCCACATTGAAAAAAAAAATGTTTATAAATACTGTGATAAGAAAGATGTCTTAGATAGTCAGGTAGGAAGATATAAAACATAAAAGTTTCATGCTTTAAGATAATACGGTTAGACAGACAGAATAATCACGTCTTAATTGTTTGTTTGTTTTTAGAGCAAAGCCACATTTGACCTAGCGGGAAATCGAACCCCGGAATTTAGAATTGCAAGTCAGTAAACTTATCGCTACATATAGGCGGACATCACGTCCTACAGGAACTGAAAGGAAGTGTTTGATTTGGGTTTGTTGTGAATTTCGCGCAAAGCTACACGAGGGCTATCTATGCTAACAGTCCCTAATTTAGCAGTGTAAGACTA